AAGGGAGTAAGGAAGATAAGGAGACATAAAATTAGTAAAAACATGCCTAAGGCTTTTGACTTCTTGACTTTTGTCTCCTTCTCACAGCACTGTGATGACTGACAGAAATCCTCTGAAGCCTATTAATTTTGTTTTATTCCTTCTGTCCTGTTTTTCCACTTCACTTAGTGCAGATTCTTCCTCTGAAGGTTAAAGATATCTCTTTAAGTATAATGCATCTCTTCTCAAAATTCATGTGCAGTTAACTGAGTTTTCTCAGTCTCCTGCTCTTAGTCTCTTACTCTCTCCCTTTGGCCCTCTCCCATTCTTCCCATTGCCCATCCAGAAAACAACCAAAAGGCAGCTATCAAAGAAAGGAATTCTGGCAGGAAAGAGTTCAGGTGAATGGGGTAGTTGTGTTACTGTCTTCAGGAAGAGATCCATCCCTTACAAACTAAAATAAAAACTTCATCTAATCCAGGGTTCCTTCTCCAAAACACTCCAGGAGTTGATATCTGGATAAAAGACACAGAATCCAGAGCGATTTTTCAGTTGTTCAATTTTACCTCCAAGGCTCAAGTATTCCCGTATCCCACTATCCACCCACCTATATTGCCCAAATTATTTTTGATTTCTCTTCCACGTTTGTAATACTTGACATACTTCAGACTTTTTCTCTTTGTTTGGTGTCATATAGAATCACAGAATGGTTTGCATTGGAAGGGACCTTAAAGATCATCTAGTGGACCTTAATCTTTATACTCCTTAGATCTGCATCATTTGATCCTCCTGATTCAAACTCATCCCTGAGTTCCCTTCTCTGGGCCTTCCAGTGTCTCTCCTAGTCCTGCTGTAACATCAGGTGCCTTCTCAAAAGTCACATCACACCACCTTTGTGGAGCTGATGTCTTGACCCTCATGAAGCCAAGTCCCTTCCAGAAGATACACCTACAACTTGTAGGTGTTGTCTCCATATTTTTCATTAAGTTGCTGTACAAACCTGATCAAACCCTTTCTGTAACATCTCTGTTCACCACACAAGCTTATGAAATGTTAAGGAGTGGTGTGTAGAGCAAATGTTGGTTCCCATTTCAGGGAAGTGCTGCTGCCTTCTCCTCAGTGGCTCAAATAATCTGGGTATATTGTCTCTCCTAGTCTTTTTCTCATATGTGTCTGCAGGATCAGAGGCCTGCTGGCAAAAATAATCCTGCAAATTTGAGATGTTGTCCCACTGGTCTCCCTCTTCACCTGTTTGCACTGGGACATGTGTGGGCTTTGAGCCCACACCAGCTGGATGTGGAAGCTGAACGGGAACAAACCAGCTCCTGTCTACGGCTTCTACTGCAGATGGATGCCAGTATAACTCTTTAGGATGCTCTGGCTACAGTTAAACTAAACTAAACAAGTCCAGGATACATTTTTGAGTATTGACCCTCAATCACAGACACTGCTAAACTGCTAACACAGTCCCTGCTGTGGCTTTTTGACTTCTACTACTTCAGACAAATGAAATTGTTTCCCGTTCTTCAAATCTGCAGGCACATGCAACCAAAAGTAACCACCTCGTTGGACTTTCCCAAATATGTAGCCTGGGGAATTTCAGCCAGAGGAATGAGTCTTGTAAGAAGATGTTTTGAGTCTTTACACTGCCTGAATAACAGGGTTGTCCAAAATAATGGATAAAATAGGAGTCAACGTGAAGGCACAAGAGGTTTGGGATTTTTTCTCTGTCCTGTATATCAACTACCTTTGTTCTGGACAAAATATATCATCCCATTTTTTGTATTCTACATCTCTTAGAAGGATACAAGATTCATCTGGTTTACAGTACTCATATCCTCCCCACATTCCTGCTATTTATGTACAGAGAAGGAAACACGTGTGAGCAAACTCTTATAAAAAATAAACAATAAAACAGGGTTTCAGAGTGGAGAATGGGGAAAAAGGGGAAAGTCTGGATCTCTCATGTTCCCTTAGGCCAGTGGTGAAACAGCACAGCCATTTAGATGAGACAGCTGCTGCAGCAGCTCCAGTGCAGAAAAGCTCTACAGTCAAATAAGTTTGTGATGACCTAAATTCCCCTTGTGCTGTCACCAGCTCTCTTCATTAACAACACAAGATGGTTCCTATGCTTTCCCCAACTCCTGCCTCCCCATCCTTCCATTGCTGGTGGTGTGTCATTTGCTGCACAGATGTTTCTCCCAAGCGAATGCAAGGTTATTTTTCAAGTGACTTCTTCCAGCAGATGTTCCCCAGTTCCCAGGTGTGTGCGTTGTCCTCTCCACTGAGCCGAAACTCAGCGATGCACTTGACATATTGCAGCGCTGCTGCTTCTTTGAGCTGCAGGGTCGGTGACATCGCGCATCACTGACACCTCTGCTCCTGCCAGGCTGCTTGGTGACACCTTCCCTCAGCAACAGGCCTCCCTGCTCCTTGCCCTGCTGGTTCTTCACTACCTGGGCTGCAAAAAGCAGCTTTCTGTGCTGCCTGAAATGAACTTATATAATTGCTGCGGAGCGTGTGCCCAAAAAGAAGAATTAATTTCACCTATTATTCAGGCAGCCAAGTTCTATTTCCCTGTAGAGTCAGAGAGGAAAGCCAGATGAAATAGCTAAAGGACATTTATAAAGCAGTGTTTTGAACACAAGACCTTCTTCTTCCTGGTACCTGGGGAGTCAAGGTCACGTAATCAGACACTGTAGGAAAGCTGGATAAACCACTGAGCTCTTTCCCTCAAAGCCCATAATCTAAGTCCACCTTAGCCCATCACTAAATACAGGTATTTGTGCCTGTCCTCCTCTCCAATCTCTGTTTTCCTGCACAGTTCAGATGCTTTCCCAGCTTTCATCTCTTGGCATTAATTTAACTTTTTTTTTTTTTTAGACATCGCAGGGGTGCAGACTGGCTTGCAATGACAGCCCTGTTTGGTTCAGCTAATATCTGGGCTAGCTTTAGCCTCAGGCTATGGAACAACTCCTTGTGAGCCTTCTGTGAGATAAAATGATAAGTAGAATCTTTAATTATTATTATTTTTAAATTGATACTATATATTGAACTCAAAGAAGCAGTAGTCTGTATTTAATTAGAAAGAGAAGAAAACCTGACAAAAAATTTCCTCCCTTCACCCCTTCCCCTCATTTTTCCCATCTGAACTCAGTCCCTCAATCAGGTGGCAACAGGCAGAAAAAAGATGAAGTCAAATCCCTCAAAAATTCTTTGTAGATAGACAATCTTGGGCCATAATAGGAACAGGACTATACTAGTGGATGCTAATATTTTTTTTCAAGCTCTCTGTCTCAGGTCGGCCCCTTCATTTCTTTTCTTCCCATCATGCTGAAGGCAGAGCTCTCTCCTCATCCCTGGATCAACAAAATTCAGTATTTTAGCTTCTCACTGCTGAGCTGCAGCAGAGGAGAAAAGGACTTGTGTGTTTACTGCCAGGCAAGCTTGCAGAAGTGGGACCAAGACAAATCTCCTGCCAGACATTTTGGCTACATCCCTGCTAGTCGGCTAGGGAAGTGTCGGGATCAGCTCTCCGTCCCTGAGGCCACCTGGCACAGCCCAGACATTTCCTTAGTGTTAAACAAGCTCACCTCCAAAATAAAGTAGCCAAATCCAACTTGCCTACTGGGGACAGTGCCTGGTGCATGCTGGCTTCTGAGCTGTGCCTGGGAATTGTCTGGGACGGCACAAGCCTGGATCACCAGCATGCCAAGGACCATCAGAGCAGTCTCAAAAACTGTCAGATTCCAGGGTTTGCTCCAGTGCAATGGGGCTGATTTGCTAATTGGCACAGCCAGAGCCCATGAAGGTGTGCACATATCCATGGTTGGACTTGATGTTCCTAGAGGTCTTTTCCAACCTTAATGATTCTTTGACTCTAGACACAGACACGTGTGTGTGCATGCAGTAGGCATCAGTGGGAAAGCATATGACTTTTCCCAATTACACCATAGCCTCATCCCCTTCCCACCAGCTTGCTGAAGTCAAACAGCTTGTATTGGGTGAGCGGTTGCTTTTATCAGAAGGTTTTCCATGTTGTTGCTTGCTTGGTTTTCTATTGCTCATTTTTTTTTCACCTGTAATTCACAATATTGGTGCCTATTGCTTTTCAAAGATTCACTTTACGTCTTTATGAGTCATTATAGAGGTGACCTTCCAGTATCTGAAGGGAGCCTAAAGGAGAGATGGAGAGAGACTCTTTACAAGAGCATGGAGTGACGGGACAAGGGGGAATGGCTTCAAACTGAAAGAGAATAGGTTTAGGTTAGATATTAGGAATAAATCCTTTACTGTGAGCATTGTGAGCCACTGGCACAGGTTGTCCAGAGAAGCTGTGGCTGCCCTATCCCTGAAATTGTTCAAGTCCAGGTCAAACAGGGCTTGGAGCAACCTGGGATAGTGGAAGGTGTCCCTGCTCATGGCAGGGGGTGTAACTAGATGGTGTTTAAGGTCCCTTCCAACCTAAACCATTCCATGATTCTGTGATTATGACATCTAGAAGAATGAATATGTGTTGGAAGTTGTCAGCAGGAACTAGGGGGAGCTTGAACAGCAGCGCTCCACCATGAACGACTTGATCTCTCTCAAGTACATACAGGTGGGGAAAGGTCATTAACACCTGTGTAGGCAAGTGCAGACAGATGTAAACTTGCATTTTAAGCTGTCTACACATGAGCCAGCTGCTGCCTACAGTCTGAAGGACACCACCATGATCTGAGATTGCATTTCCATGGCAGCCTGAGCCAGTCTGGCTGTATCTATTAAAAAAGTCCATCATGAGTTGAGTACAGGCACGAGTCTTTTTCCCTTATTGTCTCTACGGATACACTTAGCAAAGCTGCCATGGTTTTGATCCAAGTCAACCAGGACACCCAGTGCCTGGTGATAGTTCAAGGCTAGAAGGAAAGAAGGATTTGCATCAGTAAACTGTTGGGGTTTGTGTGTGGTAAGACACGGGAGCAATCAGTGTCTTGTCATGTGGCTGCAGAATAACAAAGGAATGGTTCTACCGATTTGTTAGTGTAGATATTCCTCAAACACTGGCTTGGATGGTTCTGTTTGGATCTCCCAGTCACATGCTGCTATCCACCTTGACTCAGGTAAACCAAATGTGGGATTGAGTGATCTGACTGAAAACTAGTCTAAGGCAAGAAACATATCAATTTTAGTAACCAATGACCATTGTTCACCATCTTTTCTCAGTGAAAGAAGAGAGAGCAGGTCTGTGGACACAAGACTAGGGGAAAGAAGAGCACAGAATCATCTCATTCTAACTCTCCTGCTGTGGGCAGGGAGACCTTCTGCTATCCCAGGTTGTTTCAAGCCCCATCCAACCCGGCCTTGAACATTCCCAGGATGGTATCACTCTGTACTTGGATTAATTTAGTCTTTTCTGGATCTGCTGCTTGACTAGAAGAACTGAACATCCACAAAGATGCCCTGGGAAGTTATGTGCACTGCATCAGCCGGTGGCTTTATAAAGAAGAAAACTTCCTTTGGACCATCTCTATAAAATCACATGCATTTTTATAGCCAGACAAGCAAAATTCTAAGTCCTAACTAAACTACCTTGCCCTTAAACAGGCTTCATTATTGCAAGGTTGCTTCAAGGGTTCAAGATCTGGCTGTGTATCTGTCTTCCAACTCTATTGTACATACAAACAGAGATATAAAAACTAGTTATTTCAGAAATATATTCAAGTTCTACTCTCACGTATAAACACATCTAAATATGAACAAATTTTAACATATTTTTTAACTGTATTTATAAATGTAAATATACATCACAAGTATTTAAAACATCAGGATTAAAGTCTTTCCTTAAGCAAACTGCCTCCCACTGAAAGGACACCAAGAGAATGATGGGGAAATGGGAAGCATTTGAAATGGAGGGTTTGAGTCCCTTAGTTTGTCATAGTTGAATGACAGTAGCATCAAAATACAGCAAATTAAAATATCCAGTTGTTCTAAGAAACTGTTGTGCTCACAGGAGAAGAAGCAGCAGAAGTGAACAGATAACTATTGGAAGGAAAAAAATGTTATTACTCGTTTATTATTACTATTAATTACAAATGCTACTACATCCTGCTACTAATTTATAGCAGTCATATACAAGTGCAGAATTAAATCAGTCCATTCAAAATATCGGAGCAGGAAAAACAGCCTTATTTTTAATTTATTCTACAAATACATCTTTGATGTTCCCACTTGTCCCCTTCCCTCATCTTTTCAAAATAAATAAATAAATAGATTCACATATACTTAGATTTTTAGTCCAGAAGGGACCATTACAATCATCTTGGTTGCTTCTTTCCCAAAAAGAGACCTTATAATTTTATTCTTGTGTCTGACCCATAACTTTTCTGGGTTACCCTGTATCCTTTCAAGCTGCATATTTTTCTGATTTAAGGACTTCAAGCAACACAGAATCTCCTGTATCCCTGCGTGAATTGATTTGATAGTTAATTACGATCATTGATAAGAATTTTGCTGCTGTTTCCAATCAGAAATCTTGTAGATCCAACTCTACAAAATGGGATTTTGGGCATCATTTTCTGCCAAATCACAGAGCCCTCATCCCTCTATAAATAAGTCATGCCCATCTGTAAAGGCTTTGGCCTTCTCTCTTAGCTTCTAAAATCACATTAATTTTGTTAGTGTGTTCAATCAGTCTTTTGATTTTACAACATCCAACAGTCTTTGAGTAGTAAAGAAGTCAATTTTTTCCAGAGAGTTTGTGGAAAATGTTCAAGGTCAGATTGGACAGGGGTTGAAGCAACCTGGGACAGTGGAAGGTGTCCCTGCCCATGGCAGGGGGTTGGCACTACATGGTCTTTACGGTCTCTTTCAACCCAAACCATTCTATGATTCCATGACTCAATCTCCAAAATATTTAGAAATCCATGAAAACTCACCTGTGCCTTACCCCCAAAAGCACTTTGCCTACAAAGTTTTTAAGGATTTTGACAGCTTTAGATGACATAAATGTGCATTATTGCACTGCCATTATTACTGTGCCGTCATTTTGTCTTTGGTCTTTTGGAATAGTTTCAGCCTGTTCTAGCTCTTGCAGTTTAATTTCTTTTCTTTAACACCCCCATTGAACAAAGGAAGTGTGGGGACATTAAAAATTAAGACTGTTTTTTCTGTATTATCACTATTATTGCTGCAGGTTCATAGATTACTCCGTTATGGCTCCAACTCATTACAATGAGAGTCAGGAACACGCAGAAATAGCAGGTGGCATCTGTGTAAAGCAGGACATGGAGTACTCCTTGCTGAGCAAAGATACTCAAGGAAAAGCAGTTGTTAGGTGGTGGCCTGATCCTACTGGGTGGACTGTTGTACCTTTAATGGGCTTTAATGGGATTTGCTGCCTGTGTGCTTGGGAAAGAGAAAGATTCCATCTTCAGTTCCTGCTCACACCAGAGTTGTAAGAAATGGGGAGCAGAAGGTAAAGAAAGAGTGATTAAGCATTGGAGTAGCTGACCAGGGAAGTGGTGGAGTCACCATCCCTGGTATTGTTCAAAAACCATCTTCTGGCATCTTCTGAACCTTTGCTCAGTACAAAGACCACAGAAAGAAAATGTTTAGATATTTAAAAAAAGTTTACCTCGAAGGCTCTTATGGAGTGAAAAACTCCTTTTATAATCAGTTCTTTCTCATCCTTCCCCTAAAATAAGGGAAAAGGAAAGGCTGTGTAATGAACTTGAACCTAAAATTTTGAGATTTCATGGAAAAAACAACCAGGTCTTTTCTTTGCTTGAGACCCACTGAGAAAAAAATCACTTTTGGGAAGATCATTCACACCACATGAATTAAAAACCACATAAAAATTTTTGCGGAATGACAACTGTTGATACTAATTTCAACATGTCTGTAAAATCTAGATCCAAGTACAACTAGTGTGAGAAAAGTCTCCACCATTTCCACCACAGAAGAGATTATTCTTCTCTTACTTTAGCAATTGAAATGTTACATATTTCATTTAAGTTAGTCTTTTGGAGATGAGGCAAACATCCTCACAGGGTTGTTTGCCCATCCTAAAATAAATTTCTGAAAGGGATAAGGTAAAACAGTCTCCGGAGAAACATTTCTTTTACCTTTTCAATAGCAGGAGCCTAATTAGAGAGTCTAATTTAGCCTAAATGGCTAAACTAGCAGAAATGAATCTCATATCTAGCTCTGCACATTCAATGGTGACTTAAATCTCTGTATCTGACCTCAGATCTGGTTGCAGATCAGGCTGAAGTCATTCACTGGTTGGAATCAGTAGTATTAATAATACTCAGTATTATTATGTGTTATATAACAATAATAATAATGGTTAATTTTTAAGGGGATTGTTTGAAACTAGTGAAAAAAAACAAACCATTAGTGACAGAAAAACTACAAGAATTATTTTACAGAAGGCAACCCCAGCTGAAAAACAACTCAATGCAGCTGAACAAAGAACACTTACAAGATTCAGGCTGGCCCCAGTGCAAATTATATGATAGCATCTTCTGATTACTGTGTGTCTGACACAGTTTTAGCCTAGGATACAATCTGTCATGCTGGATTGCCACTGAGTGTTCTACACCAGGGAAAAATATATATCAGTAAAATTTACCATCTGTGTCATTATGTGACTACATAAATCTCGATCTCAGCATATTTGTTAGTTTTAATTCCCAGATATATTTTTTTTCTCACTAAAGCTGTTATTCATATCAGCCTGTATTGTATAAACCATACTAAGTCTTTAGGGGTCTCTTCTTCAGATGCTGGAAAAAATCTAAGACCTGTATTATTCGTAAACTCCAAGTCAGGGAGTGCAACACTTTTATGTTTTGGGTTTTTTTAAAGTCCATCCTTACAATTAAAACTGACACCAGAAGGTTAAGGATCACAGCTATGGTGGGTTAAAGCTTAGCTGCTAATCACTCCCTCCCTCTCTCCCTCCCATTATGTCAGGGTTTCTGATGGGTTTCCATTCCACAAACACCATTTGATTAACCTTACCCATGCTCTAACACCTACCTGTGAAGAGATATGGGCTGCAACATGAGGAATGTGGAAAAGTCAGTGGAGGTTTAATTGGATTAATCCCTGTGTTCTACATCTACACTGGCAACTTTCGTGACAGCTCAGCTAACACGATAATGTGCAACAAAGGGATCTGGTATTCGGCAGGGTCCCACACCTTAGCTGGGGGGGATGCACCTGGGGAAGCTCCACTATGAAACAGAAAAACAGGCAGCTGACAACAGCCCTGCTCTGCTATTGTCACAAATTGCTGGATCTGAAGAGCATTTCATTTTTTGATGAAACTCATACTCCGTTTCCAGTGGTTCAAAGGAAGGGTTTTCAGCTGCAAGCTCCTGCCAGGCATGAGCTCTGCACTGCACCTTTTTTCCTTCCATGGGAAAAGGAAAATGCCGCTAAGAGGTGGTCTGAGGGTGTTGGCACAGTGTCTGTGAGAGCAAGAGGAGGTGGAGGTAAGGAGAAATGCTGAACAAGCCAGCATCATTTGAGAAAAACACCTGTCCCACTGGTTCCCAGGGAGCAATACAGATGTGGCTACACTGGATGGAGGAGGGAATGCCACCATGGATTCCAGCTGGGACTTTGTCCCACACCCACAGGCAGGAGGAAGAACCTGGCACACATAAATAGTACAGACCAGTGTTCCTACAGACATGAACTGGGTGGATGGGAAACCTCTGCCACAGGTGCAGCCCTGCCTCGTGGTGTGACAAAGAATGCATCTTACCCTGCTATGGACCTCTTAATCCCAGATATTTTTCTCCTTAAAGCCAGCCCTTAATGAAGATATACCTGTGCCGGTCTCCTCGACCTTTGCAAAATCTCCTGACAGTATACCTACACAGTACAGATTTCTTGAAGTTCCCTCCTTTCCTGAAGGCATGGGACTCACCTCCAGATTGAGCCTGCCACTTGACTGACTACCTGTCTGCTTCTGATCCTTCTAAATGGATTGGCTCATTTTACTTCAAAAAGTGCTGACTCCATCAAAACACAGTGTCCAGTTTTATTCCAGCCCATTGCAGACCAACCTGAACAACCTGATAAAAACTAAGTAGAGTAATTTAAATGACCTGATTTCATTGTCCCACATGTATTATAGATTTCAACTTCCCAAATTCTGATGAAGTGCACATTCCTCTGTCCTGAAAAGATTCCCTAAAAGGTTTTATGCTCTACTGGCAGCTATGAATAGTTATGATATACCCAATTCATCAAGTCCAGAGGGGGTGAGATTCATTCATCTCACTTTTTGAAATGGAAATATTACATATAAAGAGGAATTGTGGTCCTTCTGTATGGTCGACACACGTCTGGATGCCCTAGAACATCTGCTGGCAACTATAGGATAGGAATATGGGAGACTTCATGCTTCTGGACAAAGAACTGAAGGCCAGAAAGGGCATCATCTTCTTGAATTTCTTGATCTGGTTGCTTAACTTTACTTCCTTTGCCTTTTCTACCTAAATTTCAACCATTGTGGATGATATTGGGAGTTACCAAGGATCCAGGTAGTAGCTCTAAAGGAGGTAAAATATGAATCATATCTAAGC